GGAAATGATTAAAATGGGGGAGAGAAGCTGAAAAAGTGGCTTCTGCGGGTCCACCAAGAAGCTGATTAATTGGAGAGAGGAGAGAAGTGACGAAAAAATATAAAGAAAAGTGATAAATAATTGGAGAGAGGAGGGAAGTGACAGAAAAGAAAAAAAAAAGGAAAAAGTAATTGCAAGAAAGAGAGAAGTGACGAAAAAGTGGGGGAAAGAGAGTGATTGGGGGAATTTATTTTTGGACCACTTCTTTTCTCTCTCAACCTCTCTCATTTTTTTTTTGTGTGTGGATATTTATCCATGGGCTGAAGGATATCAAGTTTATATGGTCAGATATTAGTCTGGGCGGTATGGATATTTATTTTTGAATGAACTGATATTATATGCAGTGGATATTAGTTTGTGAAGTAATGAATATTGTGTCTTCCATCAAAATTAAACACACTATCAAGTCCTAACACATAAGGCTTGCAACCTTAGTTAGGGCTGCCCGCCGAGGGCCCATGGGCCGAAGGCCCATGAAACAATAATAGTAGGAGAGTGATGGTTTAGGGTTTATGATTTAGTGATTAGTCTTGTAGTCGGATATTAAACTCGGTGGTGTTTGTCTTTGTTTTTGCAAAGAATGGGTATTAGTTTAGGTGGTTCGGATATTAGCTTTTGGTTTGAGATATTAGTTCATGTTTTCAACTATTTGTCTAGGATGTTTGGATATTTGTTTTCTCATTAACTGATATTAGTCTGTTGATATTAGTTCATTGTCAATTTAATTACTTTTGGTATTAGTTTGCGATTGTTAGATATTAGTCTATGTGCGGTGGGTATTAGTCTGCGATGGTCAGATATTTGTCTGTGTGTGGTGAGTATTAGTCTGTATGGTGAGGATATTATTTACGATCTGAATGTATATTGGTCTTAGGCGATGAGATATTGGTCCGGGTGTTGTGGGTATTTGTTATGGTGAACGGATATTATTCTAGGTGGTTTGGATTTGTTTTGTATGGATGTTTATCTGTGTTTGTTTTGAAATTTAGTTTAATAAGCGATTAAGGTTTAGAGTTTATGTGTAATTGGTATTAGTTTGTGATGTTCAAATATTAATCTGTGTGTGGTGGGTATTAGGGTTCAAGCTTTGTGTTTAGTGTTTAGGGTTAGGGTTTCAGGTACAGGGTTCGAGTTTTGGTTTCGGGTTTAGAAGACGATATTGTGAAAATGGTTTTGAAAACAATGTAGGGTGGTTCGATTTTTGTCTGTGGTGATAAGATATTATTATGTGATTGGAGGATATTAGTATGAGATGTATGGATATTAGTCTGCGATGGTCAGATATTCGTCTGTGTGTGGTGGGTATTAGTCTGTATGGTGAGGATATTATTTACGATATGAATGTATATTGGTCTTAGGCGATGAGATATTGGTCCGGGTGTTGTGGGTATTTGTTATGGTGAACGGATATTATTCTAGGTGGTTTGGATTTGTTTTGTATGGATGTTTATCTGTGTTTGTTTTGAAATTTATTTTAATAAGCGATTAAGGTTTAGAGTTTATGTGTAATTGGTATTAGTTTGTGATGTTCAGATATTAATCTGTGTGTGGTGGGTATTAGGGTTCAGGGTTCAAACTTTGTGTTTAGGGTTAGGGTTTCAGGTACAGGGTTCGAGTTTTGGTTTCGGGTTTAGAAGACGATATTGTGGAAATGGTTTTGAACACAATGTAGGGTGGTTCGATTTTTGTCTGTGATTTTTGAGAATTTATCTTGGTAATTATATCCAACATTTAACAAAATATTATCCATTCTGCTACAAACCAACATCTTTCCCTAAATATTATCTAACCCTAAGTTCAGTTTTACAAATCTAAAATAAACTTTTCTTCCTTTTCCCTCATCGTCTTGGTCATCACTTTCTTCATCCTCAATTTCTTGGTCCTCATTTTGTTGTTGTTGTTTGGCACATTTAGGCCTAAAGGTTTCGCCTTCTGATGTGGTCCTCATTGTAGTTGATTTAGTTCTTGTCATTATGATTTCCCTGCCCAGTAGAATATCCTGACATTAGCTAATCAATAGCTGGACTCCACATAACGAATACCCTAACGATCAGAAGTAATATCAAACAAGTCATATCCAAATATATCAAACAATTATCCAGGCAATTCACAAAAGATATCATGGTCGACCAAAACCAATATCAATGTAGGAATATCCAGATATATCAAACAACTATCCATGCAATCAAAAACTGATATCCTGCCCAAAAAGAACTAATATCGGAACGCACACAAAACATATCCACAAAACCCAAAAAACAAAGCAACCCGGATCTAATCAAATCCACAAACAAAGCAACCCAAACCCATATCCAGTCACATCCACAAACCCAGAAAACATATCCGCTTAATCCAAATATATCAAACAACTATCTAGGCAATTCACAAATGATATCATGGTCAACCAAAAACAATATCAATGTAAGAATATCCAGATATATCAAACTACTATCCAGGCAATTAAAAACTGATATCCTGCCCGAACAAAACTAATATCGGAACGCACACAAAACATATCCACAAAACCCAGAAAACAAAGCAACCCAGATCCAATCAAATCCACAAAATCCATAAACAAAGCAACCCAGACCCAGATCCAGTCACATCCACAAACCCAGAAAACATATCCACATAATCCACAAAAGAAAGCAACCCAAATCCAGTCAAATCTAAGTTACCAGAAAACAAATCCATCAAACTCATACAAAAAACGCAGAAAAAGAAAAACCCAGATCTAGTAAAAACCATGAAACCTTAACTTCAAAAAACGCAGAAAAAGAAAACCCAGATCTAGTAAAAAGACAAATACCCAGATCCAATAAAACAACTATCCAGGAAAGTGAAAACTGATATCATGCTCGAACAAAACCAATATCAATACAAACAGAACTAATATCGGCACAAACAGAACTAAATATCGACACAAACAGAAAGCCATTCCACAAAACCCAGAAATAAAACCCACAGAAGAACGAATCATGCAACCCTAACTCAAATCTGTCCAATCGAAAACTAATATCCACAAAACTATGCTTGAAACCTTACTTGATCAAGAACCCGAGTTCCCTGCAAAGCGCCGCCGCCGAGATCGCTGTTTCGTCGCCGCCGACAAGATCGCCGCCGCCGAGTTCGCTGCAAGGTCGCCGCCGCCGAGATCTCCGAGTTCGCTGTAAGGTCGCCGCCGCCGAGATCTACAACTTCAGAACTCCGACTTCGCTGCTTCGTCGCCGCCGCCGAGAACGCCGAGTTTGCTGCTTCGTCGTGGCCGCCGAGACCTCTGCCGCCGAGTTCGTGGCGGCCGAGTTTGCTGCACCGCGGCCGTTCGTCTGCATTTGGGAGAGGAGGAAAGGGAGAGGAAAGGGAGAGAGAAAGGGAGAGAGAGGAGGGGAAAACCAAATGGGCGGAGAACTGAAAAGGGGTAGGTTTAGGGTTTTTTTTTGGTTTTTGAATTAGTGGGCCTGACGGGCCCCGCAAGCCGCGGTGGGCTTTGCCCAGCCGATGCAATCGGCTCATTCTCTCCTCCACCGATGGATGCAGCCTTGGCGACGTGGAGGCCGATCCGCCCCTGTTAGCATCTCCTAACAAGTGCCCTTGTTAGGAGCATAACTAGATTGCCTTCCATTTTCTAACGGTTGTCCCCTTCAATCTTCCGGCAGCTCCCATTCCCTCTCTTTCTTCGTGGATCGAAGTTGGTGGATGCGAGTGGTGGCGTGCGGCGGCGATGGCAATGAAAAGTGGCGTCAGGAGGGAGGCCAATTCCTCAATGGCGTTCACAACACTGGTGCCTCACCCTCCTATTCCTCGCCCTCACCATCGACATATACTTATCGGCGGCGAGTTGGAGATGACGAGGATTCCTCTCCCAATCGGACATGCGGCAGCAGAGAGAGTCGAGGACCGCTTGCTCCACCCGAGATCGAAAAATTTCCCCTCCTTTCTCTGGCTTTCTAGGGATACGATTTTTCGACAAAATTCAGGACGCAATCTTATGGGTTTCTTCTGTGTTCTCCGACTGAGGCCCAGATCTGATGGCGGCAGAGGCCCAGAGTCATCTTTCCTCTGTTTCCCAAGTTGGGAGGGCAGACAGAGTTCCTTGAATCCCTCCAGCAAAGAGGACAAGAAGAGGGAGGTGAGAGGCCGCAGGTGCCAGCTCCTCGATCTGCTACGCGCTGGAGTTTTGCCATCGCCGATGAATCCGGCGATGAAGGCGGCGCTCCGGTTCTTCCTTTCTTCTGGCGCTAGTGAGAGCTTGAGGCGGCGCTCGGGTCCCTCTCGGAGGTGCGATCCAAGCAGCCCTCTTTTCCTTCAAATTTTCCCACCTTCGATGAAGTCACTGCCGCTCAGACATCCTCGCCGATGAAATGCCCCTTTCTCCGACTAATTGAAGGCGGCGTCTCTCTCAATCCAGATCTACTTCTTCTCGATCCCGTCAAACAAGGAGGTCGAAGAGACAGCAGCGCGTCAATGGTGGCAGAGAGGGAGGAAGAGAAGGAAAGGTTGTCTTCTTGCAGCAATCGTCATTGAAGAAGAAGAAACAAGAGTAATTCTCTTTCGAAGAAATTCATAAAAGAAGAGAGATGACAGTGTTTGGTAGATCTGGAGAGGGCGAGCGGGTCAAAATAAGGTAGGTTTGGGTAACGAGTTGGGTTAATTGACGTGGCGGGTCGAGTTTAAATATTTTTGGGTTAGAATATGTTGATTAGGCATTTCTGTTAGCCACGTCAGCAAAAAAACTAACGTCGTTAATGGAGACTAACGGAAGATAACGAAGAGTGACTAAACTTGAAATCTTAACCTAATTTTAGTGATCATTATTGAAATTAAATATTTCGAGGGACAGCGAATGATGACGCTATAGCTTCAATTCGATTAATTCTTAACAAATTAGTATTTGCAATTTGTGAGGGTCGTTCTAGCTATATACAAAATTCCTGAAATTTTTTAATAATCTCAATAACCAATCGTGCAATTTACTCCAATTAAAAACCTTTTTCTTTTCTCTAGTTTTTTAATCGGCTCAACATTGAAATATCAAGCCAAGGAGAATAGGATAGAGATTCAAGTTTCATGTTCAACAAATGACGGTCCACTCCACCTATGAAGTCAGAGATACAATGGGGTGGAATTGAATACTACAAAATATTTGGGGAAAGTCTCACCACCCAAAAACCATGTTCTCGAGATCTCTATGTAACAAGTTACAGTCTCTACTCTTCAGAAACAGTTGTTGCCAACTCTGAAGCTTGGCGAAACTCTCTCATCGACTGCCACCCTGAATCCTTACCGGACCAATTGATGGCTTTCAAAACCTCTGAGAGAACACGAACAAAATCAAGGTCGATCTTTGATCAACGGACATTCACCAACTCCACATCGAATACCAGCCACGAATTCGGCGGTATCTTGTTGCCAGCACCTTCATGTCCATAGCTGTACAAAGTCCACATACAGAAAACTGTTAGTTATCTCAGCGTCAAGAGCAGCAGCAGTTCTGCAGCGCTTAATAAGTCGTAACATAGTTCAGGATAAGTAGGGAAAATTATGGATTTATGATATACCCCATTGCCGGAGGAATCGTGAGTCTTCTTTTGTCCCCAGCTCGCATGCCTGAAAATTTACAAAATAAAATAAAAAGCAACCAGCATAAGGACATGAGAGACAACCAGCTAGGAAATTGAAAGAAGGAACAAACTTTGAAGTGATTTACCATTAACACCGACATCCCATCCTTTTATGACTTGACCCACGCCTGCACCATGTGAAAAGAAAATAGTAAAAACTAAGTTCATCAAAACAGTTTGTGTTGCCCGTAAATCACATCTCGAGGTACCTAGCCGGAAGATAAATGGAGCCCTCCCCTCGTTAGAATCAAAAACCTTGCCATTCTCCTTCAGCTTGCCAGTATAGCGCACACTGACCTGTTGACCAAGACAGAGCCATTCCAGTCAAATAAAGCTTTGTGCTTTTATCAATGGCTTACTCAAGGAATCCTAGTTCAATTCTCTGTCTCAAAAATTCATCTAGGGATGAAACAACCATACAAATTAGGCATGATCATAATCTCCTTCTGACCACAAATCATGATTCCAGATAAGGAAAAGTTCACTCCAGGATTCATTCCACATTACGCTAAATACTACCAAACATCAACTTGATAATTGGCTTTTCAAGAAAGATTGATTTGGTTAAGAGAAGTGTACCTGACTTCCAGGATAAGCTCTTTTAGCATCTGGTTTTCCCATAGCTACATCCTCAATGACCAGTCCATTTGAGAAGGTTCTAACATTCGAAGACTTGGAAGCAGATTGCTTCTCATCAGAAGCTCCATCTGATTTCACCCCTGAAACAGCCTTCTCAACTGTGCTCTCCCCATCACCACTTGCTTTCTTGTTCTTCTTTTTTTTCTTCTTGTTCTTCTTGGTGGCACCTTTGCTGGGTACACTTCCTTCAACGACTTCAGTTTCCCTGTACAAGGATCATATAACATCAGTTTCACTGCACTTGATTGACAACGTTCAGTTTGCTTGTTCTTACTATACAGCAAATGGAAGACACTATAGGATACACTAAAAGCACAACAAACTTCACATACCTTTTATCACCTTCATTCGTAACAGGAGATCCTTGTTTTGCATCTGCAGGCTGGGTTTCATCACCAGAGAGTACTTTCTGATCATCCTCAACCATATCAGCCACAGTTTCCTCATTTCCTTTCTGTTTCTGCTTCTTCTTTTTTTTCCTGGTACAAAATTAAGTCAGCATATGAATACTTGGTACCCTGAGTCGTATATATACGAAACATGATCTATTAGATGTGAACACGTATCAACCAGATATTTCATTCCCTAGCTTCAGTTCCAAGTTTTGAAAATACGAAGACCATATGATTAATTAGCTCACTTCTCAGGTTGGCTCTCTGGTTCAGTAGTTGCCTTCACTTTTCTCTTATTTTTCTTTGATTCTTTAGGCTGACATTGAATAATGGCTTTTCCTCCCTCTTCTGTGGCAGAAACTGGAAACCCATCTTCATCTTCACTTTCTAGCACAGAGACACCACCACGGCCATTCTTCTTCTTTTTCAGTTTAGACAATCCAACTCCATTTGTTGGTTCCTCATCATCGTCTATTTCCTCAATAACAACTATAATGAAAGTCAAAATAACGCCACACAGATTAGTCAAATTGCCACTTCTGAAAATGGACCACAGTCAAAGCAATTGGTTTGTTGACAAAAGAGAAACCATACCTCCACGATTCAGAATGGGAGAAGAGCGTAACGTATTTAGATCGTCATCACCATCATAGATGAATTCATCATCATCTTCATCATCACCATACTCAAATTCACTGGATTCATCATCGGACTCCGTATCCCCAATGTCCTCTCCAGAATCACTGGCATCAAATTAAGGAAGAACAGAAATAACAAATACACACACATTTTCAACAAAAATGCAGTGTTCAAGAAGACGCGATTAATCTCTCGCCTAGGCGCGATTAATAGCTGGCCAGGACGAAATCGCCCCGTCTAGCCCTGGGCGATTGATCTAGGCACCTAGGCACTCGGAAGCGCATTTTCACTCTGGTGGGCGATGCCCATAACAACTAATAAAGGGGGAAAGTGTAGCCTTTTTTTGAAAATCCCAAACCCTATTCTATTTCCCATTTCCATTCGACCAACCGCTCCCCCTCATCGACCAGCAGTGAGATCCCTCCTCATTGTTGGCGACTTGTGATATTTGGGATTGTGGAAAAGGGTTGTATGTGAATATGAATGGATGAATAATGATATGGCAACTTGGGTTTTTGTGGAATATGACTTATCTATCGTGTTTTTTTGCAACGTTTAATCTCGCATAGGCAACGATTAATCGGCCTGGGCGCTGGGCAGTGCCTCCTCGCCTAGATAGCGCCCAGCTTCTTCTTGAACATTGCAAAAATGTATCTCTAATGTTAAAGTAATCCAAAGGATACGGATCGTACTCATCAGGAACATAGTCTCCTTCGTCGGCCACAAAATAGCCAGAAAGGTGAATGCTCCGTTTGCCCACCACCGAGAAAGCTACTAACTCATCTTTGAACTCTAGTGTTAAGGGGCAAGACTCATTCTTATCCGGCAGCAAAGAACACAAGAAAACCGGACTCTTGTGGCCAACTGAACACTGTAGTATGCTCCTATCCGTTGATTTACCAAGGCCGAGAGTTGCCTGGAATCATATCATTTCCATGGGAACATTCAAAATTAAAGCACCCTTCGCAACCAACTAACTACAAGCCAAGAGAACGAAATCTATCACAGGAACAGCGAAGCAAAGAGAAAGGAAGAAGAGGTACCTGGGTTACACAAAGCGTTCCCTCCACATTATCAGAGTGATAAGGATGCGGTTTTCCTGGTTTCACCTCAATTCCTGTACGAACAAAACCAACAAGAATTCCAGGCATCAGAGGGGTTCAATGGCGGCCAATAAATATCCAAATGGAAACCAGAGAAATGAAAGAAAGAACTCTAGAAATCCTATCAAATCCATTCTCTCGCTATTATCTTGGCAACCAACCAAACACGTTTAGCTGCAAAATACTTGGAATTGAAAGCGAGAATTACCCCAGAAACCCATAGCTTCTTTGCTCGAGAAGAAATCAGTCTTCTTCTCTTCCTCCCCCTTCTTTCTTGGTCTTGTGTTCTGTAAAACCCTAGCCTCCGCTTCGTTTCTAAAACCCTGCAAGAGCAAGACTGTAGGAAGGCAAAACTCCGTCTAGCCCCTCGCTCGCTACTGTGTGTTCGTTCGTATGGGTCATTGCTTTGTGCTTTCTTATGTGCCAATTTATTCGTGGGCCTGCAATCTGCGAACTTTGTAAACATGGGCCGTTAGCTTCGGCCTTATCCCGGATTTTGTTTAAGCCTGGGATATATCCGCGTCTTGAGTACAAACGGGCTTTCTTCCACTAGGCGGCCCAATTAAACTATCAACTGGTCCGTTTGTTTTGTTTTTCCTTTCTTTTTTGGTGTTTTTTTCCACTTACAAAACAAAGAATGATGGGTAGTGATAGGAAATTTCAGACTTGATTCGGGTGATCAGACTTGGTGCAGGTATTATTCCACATGTAGTAGTGTGGGGAAGGGTTTGAGTATAGTTTTTGTAGGGTGTGGTATTAACTCGTCTAATACGACAAACGACTATTAATAGGGCCAAGCCTATCACAAGGTATTCGGACAGAAACTCACTCAAGGAGACTCAAACGTTATATAATGAGGTCAAACCCTTCAAGCCTAAGATGCTCTCTTCCCTTCTCAGTTCTCACACTCTCACCCTAAGGTCTCTCTCTAAACTCTCTCTCTATAGTCAGATACACCATTCTCCTATATCGTATTAACTTGGGCGTCAGAGCGTAGATCACGAGGGTCGCCCCCTCCTCCTAACAGATTCTTTGCCTCTTGAATAGATTGAACGAGGGAGTCCAGATCAGAGCCCCATAATTACTATGTTAGCATTGGGGACTTTTTAGTGCTAACAGCTTTCAATCTGCCTCGTCCTTCCCCGACTCATTTTCGACCCACTCTATCATTATTTGCGTCAATATTTACATGTATTTCTCCTATCATGTGGCTTTCGTGTCATTTATATTGGATGATTGGGCAGTGATGCTATGGGTTGAGCCGTTAGTCAACAATCTTGACTGTCCAACATAACGGTCAACTCTCGGGTTTGGCCAATTTAGTAAATTTATTTGATGATTAGTTGAGGCCACAATTTTATAGATCGAAAAGATTAGCCAAAATGTTGAATATGGGTAAAGTTGGGAGCATGCGAAAATATTAACCTAAATATCAATAACCTTTTATTTCAACATTACTTATATATTTTATTTTAAAAAAAAAATTGTAAAAAAAAAGCTTATATTTTTTAAATACTTTTCTCGTTGACATGATGATTAACAATAACGAGGCAACTATTCATTTGTCCCACTATGTTCAGCGACTCAAGATAGGTTAAAATTTTAGGAAATGGAATTCAATTTCTCATACTTTTTATAATTCTCATGTTTGGAAGTAAAAAATATATAGGAAATGGAATTTCAAGAGGTAAAAAGTTGGAAATTATGATTCCCATTAAAAGTGGTCGGAATTATTAGAGGGAGAAATGGAATTGATAGATCCCATTTAAATTTTGGCACATCTTTACAAGAAAATCCTTAATGATGATAAGAATTTTGGCCAATATATGGGTATTACTATAAAAACACTTGTAAGAAATCATTTCCATCTTCCTCCAACCATAAAAACATGAAATCATTTCTAAAACTTTAGGATTTGTTCTAAACATAAACTTTAAAAATGAATTTCCACTTGAATTCAGATTCTCACAAGAAATGGAATTCATTTTTTAACGGAATTATATCCAAACAGGCTGTAAATTTGGACCTTTCAATCAGAAAATTCATATTTAAAAGTGGAGAATTAAAGACATTATTTTTCCTTTGTTTTCTTAATCGGCTCATATCTTCTTCGTTTTAACTCAGATTTCAAAAAAAAAAATTTGCACTGATGGAACTAGTTTGTTGTGCTCTACAAAATGAGATCCATTTTCAATATTTTTTGAGAAAATAATTTTTTTTGCCTCTCATTACCAACTCCATACCATATGGTATCTTCTTCGTTATAATTCGTTTTTGAAAATTTTTGAACAGAAGAAACGAGTTCATCATGATCTATTGGATCTATAAATTTCTGGGTGAACAAAATACAGGACTAAAAAATACCACACAATACCACCATAGTACGGGATGGTGTCTTGTGGTACACAATGTTAAAAGTTGTTAATGACAGTCAATATGCTTCTACTATCATGTACTCAACCATCCTACAGTCTTGGTTTGTTCATATCACCATGGTACGTTTCTCAAAGCAATGATATGCTTTTATTTCAATACCAGTCAATACCATATGATATAGACTGGTAAAAAACGACTCAATTTTCTTTTGTTCCAAAAATATATCAAAGTGGATATCATTTTGAAGAGAATAATTAATCTGATCTAACTATGCAAAAAAAATTAAATTTCGACTTAAAATGAGTGAGAAATCATCCATTAAAGATTAGTGAAGAGAAAATTAAAGGCTTTTCAAAAGAAAGAATGAGTGCTGATGTGACGGATGGTGATTGGGTTATGAATGGTTACTCACCACAAGTTTATTGACCTGATCCGCTCCCATGTTCAGCGGGATGAGATCATGATTTATTTTACTTCCACTTTGCTTAATTTGTTTAATTAGTTAGTAGGACAATTTTCTAGTTTTTTTTCGCATAGGAGGAGGCAGAATGCCAAGAAACAGAAAGATAAGGGGGAAGAGGAGGTTAGGAATGGGGACGAGTGGCTATCTGCCGCTCAAACATAACACCTCTAACATCATCCTACAAGAGTTCACACATACCATAGGGATAGACGAGACTGTGCTTCGAGAGCCAGTTTGCGACTCTATTCCCTTCCTAATATGTGTGACCAATACTAATCAACCAATCTTGAGCCATCTTTCTCCGAATCGAGGCTAGCAAAGAAGTGTAGGGGTGTACCAAGTCATGCCTGTTGCTCAGAAGCTGGATGGCTAGTTGAGAGTGCGTCTCGATCAAAATGGCACGGCAGCCGTGCTTGTTAGACGATGGGTTTTGGGTCTCTGGTTCGGCCTTATTTGGCCCATTAGTATCATGTCTCGACTGTTCTTAACTTTCCATTATGAACTCATGCAAAGCCCATGCAAACTAATGTACACGTTGATGCTAGGGTTTGCTAGGGTTAGGATAGTATATATATGGCTGTGTAACCGAGTGGAACAATCAAGCTGAATAAGAGATCCCTATTCCCTGTGGACTAGTCGGTATTGCTCTCTGCAGTACCGGAAACCACGTAAATCTGTTTGTGTTTTCGTTTTCAGCTTAACAGGTATTCTAACATGGTATCAGAGCTTTCGGCAATAGATACGGAGAAGCTTTATTTACGTCTCAATCATAAGAACTATGCTTTGTGGGAATTCCAATTCCGTGTCTTCGTCGAGGGACATGGTTTGCTTGGCATTCTCAATGGAACCACCAAGAAGCCGATCGCACCGTCTACGGAACAAGAAATCGCTCGCTGGGGCCAACAAGATGCAAGGATCCAATCCTGGATACTGGGATCGATTGATCCAACGATTGCCCTAGGGCTCCGTCTGCATACGACGACTTTTGGGATGTGGTCGCATCTGGCTTCCACGTACTCATCTGCCAATCCCGCCCGACAGTTCGAGATTGAATTTGCTCTTGGACGGCTGGAACAGGGCAACAAGGATGTCACCGCCTATTTCAGTGCGGCTCAGGAGCTCTGGATTGAACAAGATTTGTTGACAGCTAGCCACCCTTCGCTCCAAGGAAGCGTCTGCCGAAGTTCTCGAAGACCGGCAGCGTTCACGTCTCTGTCAATTTCTCACAAAATTAAGGCCCGAGTTCGAGACAATCCGCTCCACACTGCTCAATCGTGAGGACCTCAAATTTGACGGCGTCCTCGGCCTCCTAATCCGCGAGGAAACGCGGTTGCGTACATAGGCGCAACTTGATGTTCGTCCCGGTGAGGGCAAAACTGTTTTTGCCGCTGCCGATCACTCCCACTCGATCGCTGCTGATGTCCAGAAGCCTCAGTTTCAACGTCGCATACCAACAACCAAGCTCGAGTGTCACCACTGCCACGAGAGAGGACATCTCCAAAAGCACTATCGTCGCAAGAATTTTTGCGTGTATTGTAAACGCAATGGCCACATTGTTCTTGATTGCAGGTCGGCCCAGAGAGCTGCTGCTCGTGCTGCTACTGTCAGTGCTCCTGCTGATCGCCCGGCATATGCAGTTCCAGCTCCTGTCACCACCGCGCCTAGACCTGGTGTCGACGTGGCCACTGTTGAGCAGGTGGTGAACAGCGCACTCCAACGCTCTCTCCCGGGGGCGATCAGTAGCGCCTTTGCCGTCCTGCAAGTTACAGGTAAGCCTCAACCTTGGCTTTTGGACTCGGGATGTATTAATCACATGACCAAAGACTCTCGCCAATTATGTGATAAAGCTCATGTTCATAAAATGATGCTACGTGTGGCTAATGGTCAAAAATTACATGTGCAAGGAATTGGTCAGGTTAACACAACGATAATTGCTTTGCCTAACACACTACATGTCCCCGATCTTGTACCCAATTTAGTTTCCGTAGGGCAACTAACCGAGCAAGGTTGCTCTGTTTTGTTTGGACCTTCTGGTTGTGTTATCCCGGACTTGAAGACGGGGAGGCAGATCGGACGAGGGAGTAAGAAAGGGCGAGTGTTTCATTTAGAGGAGCTCTCGAGTCGATCGGGGGCCACGCCACCAGCTAGCATCCGTCACGTCAGTAGTCCGTCCTCTAGGCCTGTCAGTAGTCCTCTCCCGTCGGTGTCTAGTGTTGTTGATTCTGTTCCTCGACCTAAAACAACATGGGAACTATTGCATGCACGTTTAGGTCATCCAAATTCTGTTCGGCTTATGTCTATGTTTAAACAACAATTGCTCGGTCCTAATAAAGGTGATGTTTCCTCTCCTCATAAGTGCACTAGTTGTATTGATGCAAAACTCAAGAGCTTTTCTTTCTCCCCTAGTCAAACTGTGATTTCAAAACCTTTTCATATTGTGCATACCGATCTTTGGGGGCCTTCTCCCACTGTTTCCCGGCATGGGTTTCGCTACTTTGCTCTTTTTGTGGATCATGCTACTCGGTTCACGTGGGTCTACTTCCTTCGTCTAAAATCTGA